GTCTCAAGTGATTCTTAAAGGATGAAAAGACTATGCCAGGTAGTGATAGGAACACTGAAAAGAAATATGAACATCTCATAGTCTAAAACCTCATCAGGTGGTGTCAAATACAACATCATCTCAAAGACAAAGATGGCTAAACCATGGAAATATGGAGTTATTTGATATTTGTCCCCTATACGTGTCTGCTTTGGCTTCAGGAATATGAGGGCCAAATCACCCAAAAGAGAGAACTCCCCTCAAGTCCCTTGCTGGTCAGGAGTCCCGATCAGATGGGTACTGACAGGAGCTAATCTGTTGGTGGCACATTCCTTCCCTCCCATTCATTGGTGGCAGAAAGCCAACTCCACCTCACTCACTACTGAGCCCAGCAGTAGAGGTGATTAAACTAAAGAGAATGAAATTTCTTCAGCCCTTCTTCCTGACTGGCTAGGTTGGCAGTCACCAAAGGCACTGATTGTGACAATAAAGATGGCAGGTGGCATGCTGGGGTCACAGGGCTAGCTGTGGTAAAGGCAAGAGTCCATATTGCAGGCCACAGTAAGGCTTTTATAGCTGGTAAATATGTTATATTTATGAATAAAAAAAAGCAAGAAAACAAAGTAGAGGCTTGAAAGCTGGGGACCCATGGCCAATCCAGTTGGTTTGCTGCCACCCTGAGGCTGTTCTACAAACTCCAGGTTGTTCTCCCCCACCCCACCCCCCACTTGGGGGCTTGACAGTCTTGGAGAGGTCTCCTATTGGTCTAGAAGTAATTTGCATGCTCACATTTCATTGGTTCACATGCTGTTGCTAAACCAATTCTTTTTTGGATGTTGCTAAGGCAAATTCAATAAAGCTGGCAAGCAAGGAAGAAAAGAGGAAGTAATTCCCAGAGGAGTAGGTGGACCAGGGAGCTGTTGTTTCTAAACATGGAATGCTGATAAAATCAAGCCTATTCTCCTGACAGGGCCCCTCTTCTGAGAACTCTGCCTGGGAATGTAATGCAATATCGAAAAGGAATAGGAAAAAGCTATTGCTGATCAGTGTTAAAAAACCACCACCAACAAAAAAACAATCTCAGGATACCCTTCTCCCCACCCGCTCCCTTTCATTAGATGTACCAATCCCTGTGGGTGTGTCCCATGTGCTTCAGACACACAAAAAGCATGCTCAGACACATTGCCTGCACTCAAGGACACACCTGCACATAGTTCCACAAGCAAACACCCACAAACCTCTTCTGGCTTGCTGCACATCCCTAACTAGTCACTTTAATTTTTTGAGCTTCATGTGTAAAATAGGAGTAAATACTATGAAGATGAAACGAGATAATATATTTGGAAGTGCATCACAGTAAAGCAAGCTGCCCATGCAAAGTGTGATTAATGGGAATATCTGACAGAGGACTGCAGAATAGCAGATGACCCTTACAGGGCCTCCTTTTATCATATATTGTTTTTAGTGAGGATTAAAAATAAAAGTTTTTCCTTATAAATTGAATTCAGTACAAGTCATTTTTCAAAAATAGTTTCAAAAATCCATTTGGAGACAATATCTTTGACTCACCCTTGAATAGTACAGTTAAAATTTACAAAGAGTTTTTTTTTTTTTTTTTTTTTTATAAAACTTCATTTTATTGTGTGGACAACCCTGCAAGAACATGTATATTATTATTATCCATTTTATACATGAGGACATTGAAGATCAGAATGGTCAAATAACTTGCCCAAGGTCCCAAAGTTAGAAATGAGAGGAGCTAGGATTCAAACCAGATCTCCAGATAATAGATAACCAAGCTTCTATTTATACATAGCTACATAGCTTCTCTTTATAAAATACCTGCTAAATGATTTATTATATATTAGACTTATTTCATGTCCAGATGACTTAAGGTTAAGGAAACTAAATGGGCATATAAACTGTGTAATTAATAGGTGTAAGGAGAAAGTGTCGAGGAGCTCGACATCCCACCTCTGTTCCTTCCTTGCCATGGTCATGGACAAGGTACTCTCTTTAAACCTCAGTTTCCTCATGTATAAAATGGAAATACAGATCCTCAGAGGGTTGTTGTGAGGACTGAATAAGACATATTGCAGGCTGCAGAGTGTCTGCCGCACAACAGAAAATGGCTGTTACTACAGTGGGTAATTTATTTTCAGTTTTCCCACTGAGACGCTGTCATTGTCACCTTCAGCTGTCATGACCCCATTCTTCCTTGTCCTTGCTTACAGTGGAATAGTAATACTGAAAGAAGGAGGGCTGATGGAATGGCAAAAAGCAATGGGCCTAACAACCCCGGAGTCCTGTTTGCAGCGATGAGGGAGGCCACCAGTTATACAACCATTCCTCTTTGCAGGTGACACGTCTGTCAATAGGTGGCAATCTCTCTCTTTGTCTTCCACAGCCCAGAGCTGCAATGCAGAAGTAGTCTTGGCTCCTGCAGCTCTGCCCAGCTGTTTTCCCAGTGAAAAGTGGTGCAGGAGATGAGGAAACAGGACAGACACCCTACAAGAGTAGGCAGGAGAATCTGCCAATTTGGGAAGGAATGTCTTCCCTGCAGCCCTCAAAGCCCTCCACAGTTCACAGGCAGGCTTCAATGCAGAAAAAAAAAAAATCAAGAACGAAGAAATTTTTCTCCAGAGTGGTCACATCTTTGTGCCACTGAAAACCCTTCTCCAAGCACCATCTTCTATGGGAGCAAAAGTGTCAGGTGCATCCCTAAGATTCCCAGAATGTTTCTTAAGGTGGAAGGTGGCCTTACTAATCTGTTGAGTGACCAATTCTGAGTCAGAGAGAAAATCACCCTGAGTTGGGAAAAACACTGAATGAAAAGGCTCATGGGCAGTGATGGCTGCATGGTGAGGAGTGTCACGGTGAGAGAGACAGAAAAGAAGTGAGGAAGACAGCAATGATGGAGCGGGGCAGCAGGGGAGGTGGTGAGTGGTGTGGGTTTCAACAGCTGATCTGAGGATCTCTCTGTGGATCTCATGCAATGGCCTTTAGAAGGTTTGGGTCTAGCAGGTGACATGATGAATGTGATGTTTTGGAATGTGAATTTGTATCGAGTCCTTTCTGATTCTGAAATTCTAGTTTAAAGGGCAAGGCAGCCTGGATGGAGAGAAGCTGGAATCAGAGCAACCTGGTAGGTCTAAGGCAGCAGTCTAGTCAGGAACGACAAGCTCATAAGACCCCACCTGATGTTAACCACAGCACCTACAACTGAGCGGTATTCTGTCCTTACCACCTGAGTCCCATGTAAGAGATGCAGAAAATCTGTGACATATGGAGGCCACATAACTAGTGAAAGAGCTCAGAAACAGAACACAGGTTGACCTGACCTAAACCTCGATGTTCCTGTATGAAGTATGGTGGAGGCAGGGAACCATGGGGGCAGGGGATAGCTACAAAGGCTGGCACAGGGTGCAATGCACTTCTTATGAATGAAACAGAACTATCTGGTTTATCGCCATAATAATTTTTGGAATTAGGTCCCAATACTGGAGAAGAATATCACCTATGTACAGATAATCACTTGGGCACATGCATCTTCTCTACGGGCATGAGGCTATAGGCAGATCCATTTATATAACAGCATTAATAGGTACCTAAGTCTGAATTTATCCATGAATTCAATGGGTTACATGGGAGCAGGGGTTATATTCTGTAAGTGTGGGCACCCAGATATAGTGATAAAAATCAACAAAATATTTGCCTCCAAAACAGAGAACTCTCAGGTTGTTCTAGCTTTATGCTTTCATTTCTGACTTGCATCCCTGTTGTTTTCATGGTATGTGTTAAAACTGGGCTCTGAGGATTTGGTTAAGGTTAATTTCACATTGCAGATTCCCTTTGGTAAAAGATTGATCAGGAATATTTCTTTTACCAGAAAAATACTCTCTCTGAGCAACTGTCAGCTATTACATGGAAATAATAATACTTTATAATTATTCATCAATTTTGATGAATATGTGTTTGTTACTACCATTTTTGACTCTCAAGCCCTTTTAATATAGGCAGGCAGGAGGCTCTTCCAGATTTAAGATCCTGTGATGTAAACAAAGCTGAGGTTCACAGTCATAAGTGACTGGTCCAAGATCTCACAGCTGCAGAGTGCAGAGCCAGGTCCTAGTCCTAGGCCTCCAGACTTTAACACCAGTTTCTTTCTACTAAACTGCTTTTGATTCAAAACCAGGAAAGGTATCATCTTGAATCCAAAGTCTTACAAAAAGGAAATTACGTTTGCAAGCAAATGGAAAAGCAAATTATTTGCAAAATCACCAGTGGAGGTGATCATGTGTCTGAGACTCTGGACCAACCAGCATTAGGTCTGAGCATAAAATATACTTTGAATGTTCAAAAGAAAGTATTCTGAAGTCAAACAATTTCTAGAAGAACAGTATGTTTTGGCAGGGGAGGAAGCTTATAAAAGCAAAGCCATAAAACTGTCAGCTTAATATACTGTCATTTCACTAACATGAACTGGGTCGGCTCTGCCCCCTCCAACCTCTTCCTCCTTTCCACTTTATTTAAAAGGAAAAAAAAAAAAAAAGGCCCTGATTTTGCCAAGGTGGAATGGTGGAATTCTGGCTCCACTTGCCACTATACTGTGACAGAGTGGCTTTGTTGCCGTGAGAAAAGCTCTCCTTGCTTTGCCAGAATTAGTCATGGAAA